CGTGGCCAGAAGAGCTCCTTCGGTCCTTCTCGTGCTCTCCTGCTGGCAGCGCGACGATTGCACCCTCGCCGATCCGCGATCCTGGCAGCTCGATGGGAGGCGGGGGGAGGGCTCGGAGTCCGTCGCGCACGTGCCGACGTCCGAGCCCTCCCGCCTCCCATCGGTTCGGGAGAGCCGATGGTCGGTGAGGGCAGGGCTCGGGCGTGGCCACCTGCCCAGACTCCCGGCGTCGTGACTCTGTTCACAGCGTCGACACCCAGAGGTCTACACCCTAGGCGATGCTGAAGAAAACTTAAGTTTTCGGCCAGAGTCTCGATTATTCTTAACGTTTCAGTATAAATCCCAAGATTTTGATAGAAGTTCTGGGTTTTATTCCATTTCTGAGACTATGAATTTCTTAACCCATGATTTCTTAAGCATTTCGCAGGGTGTAGACCACTTCTCCAGAGCCGGTTCTTCCTCCCGAGCCGTTTCTTGACGGTCCCGAGGCCCGGTGAGGGCCCCCAGAGGCCGCAAAGAGCGAAGCATTTCCGTCGCGGTTTGTTTCTCACAGCGCGAGGCGGCTTGGGTATCTGTCCTGTCTTCCCGCTCGCCCACGTCTCCGTGCAGTCCCCGGGCCCGTCGGGCCTATAGCCCTTGCCACGGAGCCTCGCGCCCCTGGCGGGGAGGCCCGGGGAGACGTCCGCGGGGAGGGTCGGAGGAGTTCGGTGCACACGCTACATCGCTTGGTCGGCCAGGGAGCCAACGAATTCAGCCAAGGAGCTCAGAGGAGAAATACATACCCATACCACTACGCTTCGCCCGTTTCCTTTTTGGGGTGCCTCGTCGGAGGCCCTCGTCGCCACCGCTGGATTCGACTCGAAATCCTGGTGAGAACGCTCCCCGGGACAGGTCCGGGGAGTAGCGGCATCGGTGCGTTTCCATTCTCCCCGGAAACCGATGTATATCGAGGCCCCAGCAGCCCACAGGTTGGGAAGCTGGGGCGTGCCCCTCGGCCGACCAGACGGCCTGGTGTACATGCCGGGGCCATCCAAAGAGAAGGTGCTCCCCTTCGATCTGCGGCGTTTTTTTGTCCTTGCTCCTGAAGCTCCCTGGGACTGACGACGACGACGACGACGCGTCTTCCACACGCCGAAGGGTCGGCGGACTGGGTGTACGCTTCGAGCTCCTCCCAGGGGGCGCAGCAGGCCTCTCTCTGTCACGCCCGTGGCCCCCAAGTGGGGGATCGGCGGGCTCCAAGGCCGGCGTGGTCACCGTGACGCTGGACTCGAACCTGCAGACCTCCAGGAAGGTCTGGTCGGCGTCACCCCAACATACTTATACTATATGTGCGTCGCCCCCCCTGGGGCGATGCGCGCACCGAGAAATCTTATAGTATATGCGTCGTGGCTGGCGCATTCTGGCCACCCCGCTCTGGAAACGATGTATTACAAGATGGGTATACTATATATCCGGGTCGGACGCGCGCCTCCAAGGATAACATATAGTACTAGTATGTCTTTGTGCATCCCATCTGGCGGCGCGCAGGGCGGGACCTGGCATCGCTCGGACGTGTGCGCCTGTCCCCGGCGAAGAGCCTCGGAGAGCCTTTTGGATCCTCTCGCGAAGAGAAAAAAAAACACGCGCGAGGCGGAGAGCACTGCACGGGGAAGGGACGTCCGAGCGATGGCGGGGGGAGGCACTGCCGAGGCGCCGAGGCAAAGACCGCTTCGGGCTCGGGGCGGGCTGCGGTCTTCGGGCCGTTCCTGGGATCGAGGAGGAGGATGAGGAGGAAGGAGGGAGGAGGGAGGAGGGAGGAGGGAGGAGGGAGGAGGGAGGAGGGAGGAGGGAGGACGGAGGACGGAGGACGGAGGACGGAGGACGGAGGACGGAGGAGGGAGGAGGGAGGAGGGAGGAGGCGCTATATTCGTGGCCGAGGCTCGCAGTGGCCGGGGGGGCCCTGTTTCTTTCCATGCTCACAGCGGAGACGCAAAAAGAAGGGATCGGATGTTGATAGGCCTACCCTGCCACGTCGATTGAGGAGTTCGCCGTTTTCGGTTCGCGAGAGGGCGCCGCGGCCGTCATTTTTGCGGGTCCGGGCCCGTCGGTTTCGGCCCCAGGCCGTTTTCACGAAGGGGAGCTTTATGGAAGGGAGGTTTGTCCAACGCCGAGATCGGGCGAAGAGAACTCTGCACATGCACCGATCCTGACAACGCCCATCCTCGACCCAGGATCGGTGCATATGCCTTCCTGGCCAAGGTGGGAGGGCGTATGCACCGATCCTGGGCTCAGGGTGGGCCTGGCCAGAACCGGTGTATGTGCACAGTTAGTTCTCTTTCCTCCACTAGACGGGACGGTTTGGGTTCGGCAGGGGCTCGGCGTTTCTTCGGTGCTTCCGTGGCTGCATGCCTTGTTGCAGCACGGCGGCTGCAGGCGGGGCGGCGGGGGGTCGGCCTGCAGAACCGGGCAGGAGTGCCTCCCAGAAGCGCTCGGGGGCCTCCAGGGGGGGAGGAAGGGGACA